TAGAAGAGTATAACAAGGAAGTAACTCAGGCCTTTGGGGTTTTGTCCAGATTCCTTCTGTCTCCCATTATGTTGTAGAAACTCAATTCCTTCTTGGTGCATGGATAATCGATCATGTCAGTCAATATCATAACACCAATTTTGCATTTTGTTCAGTGATATAAGGAACTTGGCCAACTGTGGTCTTAGCTTCCAATCCAATAGTGGCATTGTTGTGTACATCTTATGAAAGTATTTCTCCCTTGAGTACAAAAACAGGCTGCCTATGGAGATGGAAGAAAATGTTTTGTACTTTTTTTGTGAATGAAATTCTTTGGCCAGAAGCAATATTATGTGGGGAACTTTGATAATAGCCAAGGCCATTGAAGTTAAAAATCAGTGACTTTGGCAGACCTTGCCAGGCTGAGGCCCACAGGGCATTGGCAGAGGGACAAGTCCTCTTAGGCTAATAACTCTTTTCCTTTGAGAAACAAAGAGGCCTTTTGGAGAATGAACACCTGATCTTGAAACTCCAGGTAATCCTGTGACCCGTTATCTGTTCTGAACCGGATGTTATCTGATTCACCTAGTCAAGAACATATTAATAGATCAACCTTGGCACTATTGACATTTTGGACTGGATTATTCTTTCTGATGGAGAGCTATCCTGTGCATTATAGAAGCATCCCTGGCCTATCAACTAGCTGCCAGTAGCATCCCCCAATTGTGACAATCAAAAACATTCCCCAAACATTACTAAGTGTTTAGCTCAATTGTTAAATTTTACCCCTGGGAGGCACAATTGCCCTTAGTTGAGAACCACTGACATAGAGGCACCTTTTGAATTCCATCATCCAAGAGAAGTGTTCTGAGCCACTTCTAAGGGCCTAGGTTGTGTGATCACATTCCCACACTGCTTTCTCCTGTCCTACTGCCTTTCTTTGTTCAGCCCACAACCTAGCCTAATAAGAATTTGGTATGGATAATCAACTGATATTGGGAAAAAACTCAAGCCCAATTTATAGATGGTTCTGTGTATATGTAACTACCAGCCAAAAATGAGGTGTGTGGGTGGGGGGAGGGTGGATTTGCTGTTCATGGGTGGCAGCAAAGGACAGCAAAAGAAAATCCCCCTAGGGAGTACACTTTAAGCAGTTCATATTCTTGTTGTCTCCTTGGCTAGAAGAAATATGGTATGAAATAAGGATTGTGTGTATTCGTGAAGAGTGAACTATAATTTAGCTGGATTGTCAGGGGATTGGAAAAGGACTGCTGCCAATTTAAGAAAGGTTGGGAAGGGATATATAGATGGGTCTCCTATAATGGATCCAGAATGTGAGAATATTTCTGAGCTATGTGAATGCTCACAAAAAAGCCCTCACTGTAAAAGAGATTCTGAATAACCAGGTGGACAAAATAACCTAAACTGTTTCCTTCTGTCAAGCCAATGCTTATGGGAGCAAAAGGTGCCAGGACGGCAGGGTGGATGGAGTCTTTAGAGGGAACTGCACTTTCAGAGACTTTCCTGGCTACTGCAGCCTTTCTCTCTTTGCTGCCCTTCCCCTATCCCACCACCTTCTCTCCCTCACCCCTCTCTTGTTGTGTTCTCTGCCTCTGTCAAGAGCCCTTCTTACTGTATCCTATCATGGAGGATCAGCCAGTTACCTGTTACCTGATAGCCAATTAATTGCATCAGAAGAGGTAGCACTTGAGCAGTTTTGTCCTCACTAGGAGACATATTATAGTCTTAGATATGCTTTCCTTGCCTCTGGTGGCACCACTATTTATGGATTTACTGAATAATTCATTCATTATCATGGATTCCCACATTGCTCTAGTCAAGGAAGTTAGTACACAAAAGAATAGGTAAGACAATGTGCTCAATTCTCATTTTGTTGACTTATCTCTTATCATGCACCTTATCCAAGGCTATTTCCAAACACTGGATTAATCTACTGAAGACTTAGTTATGAAACCAGCTGAGAGATAACACTTAAAGTTGAGGTCCTTCTAGATGCAGTGTGTTTTTATCCATAGTGGATATTTGATGCTGTTTCTCCCATGCCTGTATTACATGGGTTGAAGAACCAAGAGGTTGACATTTGTTGATGCCTCTATAACCCCCAATAACCCACTCATAAAACTTTTGTTTTCTATTCTGCTGACTCTGGACTCTGCTGTTTTAAAACTCATTATTTGGCCGGGCGCGGTGGCTCACGCCTGTAATCCTAGCACTCTGGGAGGCCGAGGCAGGCGGATTGCTCGAGGTCAGGAGTTCGAAACCAGCCTGAGCAAGAGCGAGACCCCGTCTCTACTATAAATAGAAAGAAACTAATTGGCCAACTAATATATATAGAAAAAATTAGCCGGGCATGGTGGCGCATGCCTGTAGTACCAGCTACTTGGGAGGCTGAGGCAGAAGGATTGCTTGAGCCCAGGAGTTTGAGGTTGCTATGAACTAGGCTGACGCCACAGCACTCACTCTAGCCTGGGCAACAAAACGAGACTCTGTCTCCAAAAAAAAAAACAAAAAAACTCATTACTTTATATAACTAGAGACTCGCATCTTGGTAACTATAGTAATATTCCGGTAATAAACAAGGAAGAATTGAATTTGGGGGAAAAATTCTTGAAACAAGACAATAACTAGTTTAATTAACTCAAAAACTCTTTTAGAGACTAGTCATTAGCCACATGCACACTTATACCCTGCATATCCTTCACAAGTAATTAAATGGAATGTTGCAAGCTACATATAAAGAGATGAGATCATCTGAGTCAGTTTCATAATAGGGATGATTCCAGCTAGCAGGTAACCTCACCTTTATTCATTTTGTTGTAAATGACAAATGCCAATGTGAATAGCAAAGGCCAAAAGAGAGAAATTTGTTGGTTCAAGTAACCAAATTTCAAGAATGGCAGGATTGCCATGGGGCTTAAGGGGCCAGAAGAATGCCATCAGCCAGTGTTCATGTCAGTCTTACTCTTTTCCACTGAGCTTGGCTGAACTATGGTTGCCAGCATTTTCTGGGCCTCTATCTTCCCAGCTTTATCACACTTTAATTTCAATTTGAAAAATCTTGGGAGGAGATTGGCCTGATTTCAGTCATTCCTTTTGCAATCACTGTAGCCAGAAGAGATGAAAAACCAGGATTAGCCTAGCTTGGATTGGGTAACCATTTTTGGTCAATTGCTTTCCATATGGATAGTTTATATTTGGACTATTAGATTAGAGAAATAAGGACAATTTTTCAAAAAAGGGGAGTACTAGTCCAAAAGAAATAGGGTTCCAGGAAAATATCTTACAGATATCTCTTACGTATCTATATTATTAAATATATATAATAGTTTGTAGAAATACATATTCATATGTTGCTTACTAACAGGAATACATTCTGAGAAATGTGTCATTAGGTGCTTTCATTGTCATATGAACACCATAGAGCATACTTACATAAACCTAGATGGTATAGGTTTAGATGGTATAGGTATACTACCTATAGGTGGGGAACCTGCAGCCTTCTAATTTTAAGATTGTTCTTTTTTATGCATCAAAGGAGACAAGAAAAGTTTCATCTTTCTCTGCTGCACTCCATTTAATAAAAGGATTTGTTCTGTAAAATTTAGATTCAGTCAAAAGGCTACACTTAAGGACCTAGAAGGCCAAAGGTTCCTCACCCTCTAGCCTATTGCTCCTAGACTGAAAATCTGTACAGCATGTTACTGTATTGAATATTGTAGATAATCATAAGACAGTGGCAAGTATCTGTGTATTTAAAGATAGGGAGCACCATCATATATACAATCTGCTGTGACTGAAATGTCATTATATGGCACATGACTGTACATACACACATATGTCTACAGTCTACTGTAGTAACTTTCTTAATCATTAGACACAAGGAATCTGGAGGGAGCTATCTAAATTGGTGGGGTTTGGGGGGGGTGAAGGCCTGGAGGAGTGGAGAAGAGATAAACCGATTTTGTTACTTGTACATTTCTTTGCAATGAAGAGCCCTTTAGAGTCAAAGGGGGTGGGCAGGAAGGAAGGCAGGGAATAAAAATAGAATCATTGCAACCACCACTCTGGTTAAGAATACTTAAGCTATGGAATTGATATTTAGACATATACATATACATACACATACACACACACCTACACACTGGTCTAAACACTTCAAATAATTTAAATTAGAACAGAATTAGTCATTTCCAACTGAAAGATTTTGAATAGTAAAAAAATGTTATAGAGTTTTAGAAACCTCATTTACTCAGTAATAACATTCAGGGGAACACACTGCACATATTCATTTCTCACTTAGCCTGAATAAGCAGTTTGATTATACAATGGTTTTCTAATGTAAGTTTTTCCGTGGCCAGGGAAAACAGATTTGTAAATAGTCCATACTTTTAAAATTGAGGTGATTTTCTGAACACTTAAAGTATTTAGTAATGGTGGTGAACAATTAAGGCTTAATACTAAGAAAATAAAAACTAACACCACAATTATAGAAGAACATTTAAACAGGAAAATTCTAAAACTACATAAATATTATATGTAGTATTTTATATATATCACATAGTTTTATTAGATATATAGTATCAAAATACCTTTTTTACTTTGGTAACTAAATTTTTGAGATTAAGAACAAACTAGTTCAAACATTTCTACATACAAAAATTCCAAGTTTATATTTATTAAAAACAAAATAAGTTCTGTTGAAGTAACAATATATACACCAAGATAAATATTTGAAATTGTGAAAACAGATACAGTGAACAACTTCAAATTTCTCAATATTTTAGTGACTTAAGTAATTTACCTTTTTTAGTCATTTTATTTGTTAAAAATATTCAATTTTAACCTTAGGTCACTGTGCTTTTTTGCTTTTTCTTAAAGACAGGTATTAGGTTTGCACCACTAAGAAATGATATTTACAGTTGTCTAGATGTAATAATTTTAAAAACATACAAATTCAATATACAGTAGGAAAATATGTTTAAAAAAACGCATAAGGGACTATGCCCCATAAAAAAAAATAAATGCACCTTCTATTAATATTATGAATATCAAAAACTAAATATTTTGATTTAAAAGTAGCTTCTATAAAATGTTGGCATAGTAGGCATTATTTGCGTTCCTAACGTATAAATATTTGTATTGCAATTAAACAGTAATATCCATATCTTAGCAAAAAACGTAATACATACATGGAAAGGTAGGCATTGTCCTGTATTCAAGTTTTTGAGTTTGATTTCCATTAAAATGTTTTCTACAATTTTTAAAAACTACACATACAAAAGTAAAAAGATGAGGTAAACACCTTATACTTTTTAAAAAGTACTTAAAACTTAATATTCAGGTATTCCCAATGTCTAGACTCTAGAACAATGCTTTACAAGGTTCTCCATAATGATGATGATTACAACAGATATCTGAACCATCTAATGAACAGCAGGTTTCTTGATCTTCTGAGTAGGCAATGATGTTCTTGCTTGTCATTAAAATCATGACTAAGTTTTGCCAACAATATTGCTTCACGTGGGTTTACATGAGGCACCATGCTACAGTAAGAGCAGCTACAATGCCATTCAAAATTGCCATGCTATAGCCCATGTGGAAAGAATGTCCAGTCAGTTTCCTAGAGAAAAAGGAAAAACAAATCAAAAAAGAAAAACATAACTTGATATAACAGTAACACCAAAAGTTTTCATTGAAAATACTTATGACCTGGGAATATATTTCCTGAATGTGTACATCTTAACATACTAGTTAAAAAAGAATATTGGGACATCTATAGGACCAATAGTGGATAGATCTTAAGTTCTCTGTCAAAAACTGTTCTAATTAACAAATATGGTTGTGTTCAATTTCATTACTCAGAGCAAAAAGCTGAGTTTCATCCCTATATTTCTTTACTGTGTTTCATTGTCACTATGTGTAGCCATAACCTAATTCTTAGGTATTTACATCTTGTTATATTACAAACATGTTCTTTAATTAGTGTGTTTCCCTGCTCTCTTGTTCTTATTCAGATCTAACTTAAAACACACATTATTTCAAGCATTTGTCCTGTTTATACTATTTTTAGGTTACATGAAGGAACTCTTTCTTTGAGCACATGTCCATGTGATTGGTAAGTCAGTTTATGTCTTTCAGACATTTCAGTTCTCAATCTAATAGGTTACTTAATTGAAGTGGTTTTCAATGAGTTCCTAGGAATTAGCAAAGATACATCTCATGTGTTTCCTTAATCTTGTAAAAATTTTACTACCTTTTCTTTCTTAACATTCTTCTCACTAAATGAATTGCACTACTATTTGTTTATCTTAATAAAAATAAAATGCACTAAAAAGGAAACAAGGTAGTGTCCAACTGGCATTTGCTGGAAGGCAGAACAGAATACTCTCCTCATTGGAGCAATCCAAATTGAGGACATAGAAGAAGACGGCACACTGGGAGAAGTAAAAGCCAAAAGTCAAAAGCAATAAGGGCTTTGGACTGAAAGGGTCATCAAATGCATATCCTCTCCTCCTTTACTAGAAGAGACCAAAGCCAGGGAAGTACTCAGATCTGAATTAACACTTGAAGAGTATCTCAGATCATGACTCTAGTTCCATAAGATCTGTGACAGAAAGTGAAGAAGATACACTCTTCATAGAACAATCCCTTTGCAATCATCTGAAGCTATATAAGACCCTGATAATTCCTGATGGTCCCCTGTTCTGGCCCATGGGAGTTATTATTTACTCTTTCCACTCAACCTTTCCTCACTCAACCAGGGCTAGTTTAAGATGCTTCTCACGTGTTATTAAGGGTTAATCTACCTAGCTATATTACCTACTACATGGTACAATAAGTACACTAGCCCCTTTAAAAAAAGAAATTCTTCAAACACATATTGATTAGTGAACAGTATTATCATTCATTGTAAAAAAAAAAAAAAAACTTAGTGATGATCTGAGAAACTTTTAAGTTAATACAGTCAGTCACCCATGTCCACGGGTTAGTATATATGCAAATACTGTGCCATTTTATACAAGGGACTTGAGTATCTCCAGATTTTGGTACCTGCATGAGGTCCTGGAACCAAACCCTCAAAGATACCGAGGGATCACTGTATTCACCAGATGAAGTTAATCATGGACCAGGGTTTTCCAGAGTAGTTTTATTTTACTAGTTTGTGATCCCTGCAATCTCACAAAAATAGAAAAAAATGTCTAAAGTCCAGTTTACAAAATTTGTCTACAATGATGGTATAACTGAATTTTACTGAGATATACATGCTCAAATGCTCAGCGACCCTTACTAATAAGCAAGCAAAGCAATGTATTTTAAAGGCAATGAAAAAATGTTCCAGGGCAGGCGTTCTTAGTCTTTCTACCATCTCAAATGCACCATATTCCCACTGGCAACCTTGTAGCAAGTGTCACACATTACTGTGAGGAAAAGGACTTTAATCTTTGAAGAATCACTTGTTTTAAAGCTTCTTTTCAACATATTTTTACTATGATTTCCCTCTTTAGGGTAAGACACAGACAACCCTGGGCAGGTTTTCTCTCTCGCGGCCCTAGTTTGTGAACTCTGAAATCCAGTTAATAAAGACCGAAGGCAACATGGTTCTCCTCTGTCAAAACCCTTCACTTATCTCTGATAGAGGATTTGTTTTAAATTGACTCAAATATAATGAAAATACTATCTTCAATTAATGAATTTAATATCTTCAATAAATGAGGATTAAATATAGTGTCTATTTACCCAATATGAACCTATATATACATACAGCTACTTTTTAAATTAAAGCATGCCAGTAAAATGCAAATGTCTAACATTTGTATACACATCAATGAATCTTTACCACGTAGCACACCCTTATGTACCCACTATCCACATCAAGATAGAGAACATTCCAGCACCCCAAAAGTCTCCCTTGTAAATACCCAACTTACCTCCCCCAAATCTTAAGGTAACTGCAATACTGAGGGCTATTACTATGACTGGTTTCACTTATTCTTGAAACTCCATCTACATGGCATTGTACCATATGCATTTTTGTGTCTGGCTTCTTTCACTCAATATTGTGTCTGTGAGATTCATCCATGTTATATGTAGCATTAGTTTGTTCTTTTTTATTGAGTATATAAATATACCAAAATCTATTATCCATTCTACTACTGATGGGCATTGGGTTGTTTCCAATTTGGGGCTCCAATACACATCTTTGGTGAGTGCTGGACATTGGCACCCATTCCTCTTAGATGGATCCTAGGAATGGAACTGTTCAGTTGTATGGCAGATGTAAATTTTGCTTTAGTAGAAAGCATGAAACATTTTCCCCAAAATAGTTTTACCAATTTACACTTCCATCAGCAATGTATGAGAGTTTTAGTTGTTCTACATTATCACCAACACTTGTTATTATCAATCTTTCAAATTTTAATCATTTTAGTTGGGTCTGCAGAGTATGTTGTTGTGGGTTTAAAATTTATTTTTCTGATGACTAATGTACTTATTATACATTCAGTTATCTCCTTTTTTGAAGTTCCTGTTCAAGTCTTTTGTTCAGTTTTGGTTTATGGAGTTCTTTACATATTATAGATAAAAATCCTTGGTTAGAAATATGTATTGTAAATATGTTCTTCTGGTTTACAGCATGCTTTTTCACTCTCTTAATAAGATCTTTTGGTGAACCCAAGTTCTTAATTTCAATAAAGTCCAATTTAACAATTAAAAACAAATGGTTAGTGCTTTCTTTTCGTGGCTTTTTCAATAAATCTTTGACTATTTCAAAGTTATGAAGATATTCTTTTTCTGAAAGAACATTTACTGTTCTTTTGATATTTAGGTCTAAAATTCATCTCAAATTAGTTTTTATATATTGTGTAAAGTAGAGGCTAAAGCTCATTTTATTCCTTATGAATATCTGATTGCTTCATAATTTATTAAAAACACCACCTTTTTTTTCTCATTGAATTGCTGTGGTGTCACTGGAGTCACATAACTATATATGTGTTGGTCTATGTTTGAACTCACTTTCTATTCTTCTGGTCTATTTGTCTATCCCTAAACCAATATCACATTGTCCTGATTATTATAGTTTTATAGCAAGTCTAAGTCTTATACTAAATGTAGGTTTTTAAATTTTGTTGTACATTTTAAAAGGAACTAATACAAACCACAAACATCACACTTAAAGGTAAAATAATAGAGGGATTGCTATTAAAGGCAAACAAGATAAGGATATGTGCTATCAATGGTATTGTTTCACACTGTCTGGAGATTTTAGTCAATGCAAAAAGAAAAGAAAGAAGTTATACCATGAGACAGAAATAAAGTTTTTTTTTCAGATGATATAACTATATACTTAAAAAATTCAAGTAGCTCAACTTGAATTTAGCATATGACTAGAAGGATTTTTAGAGTAAAAATTTAAAAATCAACAACTTTCCTATCTACTGTACTAGCATTAGCCAATTCAAAACTTTTATGCTAAAAGATTCCTTATAATAGCAAAGAAAAACTACAAAAGCTTAGAAATGCAACTAACAATAATGTGCAAGATTCACATAACCATAAAGAGTAAAAGTTGGGATTCCTAAATATGGATTTTATTATGTTCAGATAAAGTTCTTCTATACTGTAATACATTTCTGAAATCAAAATGGAAATAAATGGATAATATTGTTCAGTAAGAATAAAATACCTTTGGAAATGTAGTTACAAAGAAAGGCTCATTATAATAGATCTACTTCCATATTTTAGAAGATAAGTTATACAAAAGGTATTATCTTGTTCTGGGTCTAAAGAATTCCTTTATAACAATAAAGAATACTATAATGAAATACTTATGTGGTCTCTGTTAGTGGTTAAGAGTTCAAGCTCTACCATTAGACAGACATGAGTTGGAGTGCCAGCCTTGCCTCTTACAAGGGGTATGAAGATAGAAAAATTGTTTGACCTCTTTGACCTTCAATTTCCTTCTCCATAAAATGGAAACAAAATAGAACCTACCCTCTAAAGTTATTGTGAGGATCAGGTGTCTGGCATATAGCAAATGATCAATAAATCTTAGCTATACAGTATCGAAAAGAAAGCTTAGCTACAGAAGAGATTTTTAAAAATTCTTTTAATCATCTACTTCATTTCTCTTTTCTTTTTAAACAAAACACCTAAACTCACTTCAAAACTAAAACAAAGAAACAAACAAACAATAATTATACAAACAAACCCAGGAGGTAGATGGAAAAAAGGGATGGGAGATTTATAGGTTTGTATAAGTAGGTATATGTTTCTGCTTTATACCCTCTTCCTACTTGTTCATAATCACTTTTCCCTTTATAATTCGTCAGAGAATGTAGGCTCCCATTATTTATATCCAGATTTTGTACTGTGAAAATGTAATGCCTAGCAATATATTTATATTAATATTTAATAGAAACTTGTAAAGTGAACATATCATAAAAGAATTATATCTTAATTATTTTCATTCTTCAGTAATAGAATACATTTAAGATTCACATGAATTCAATAACTCTGGCGATTTAATTGACTACACTCATACTTGTGAACCACAAATTAAAGCACTGAATAAGCAGCTACCAAAAGTTCCAAAAATATTGCTTTTTTTTTTTTTTTAATTTA